AGTCAGATATTCATCAAAACCTAAATAGCGATGGTAAAAATCACATTACATTGCACTATTTTCATTCTCGCTACGATTCTGGTACGAAAACAGTGAAGTGAGCATGCGTGAGGTGAATTTTGAGCGTGCTAGGCAGCCAGTTCGTAGTGTCAGCCAATCAGAGCGAGGTTCTTATATGCGGTTCTTACCCGTATTCCGGTAAAAATTATACCTCGAATAAATAGAGCCGTGAACAATTGCTTTGTAATATTACGCTATTTATTGCTAGTGTATCATTATTTGAATATTGATTCAAATGCAATATAGTTTAAAACTTGTTAACAATAACAAACTTTATATATTATTATAAAATTTATATATTATATCTAAAACTTTGTTTTTCTTTGTTGTTGTTGTTTGTTGTTGTCGTGTTTTTATTGTGTTGTTAATAGTTTAGTTTCTTGACCATGGACAATGTATTGTAGATACAAAGTTTTGTGTCAAATAAATTTAGCTGAACACAGATGTAATAAAGGTATAACAAACTATTCTAAAAAATTGAAACTATACTTATCATAAAAATACAGTAAAGAAATATTACTGGTACTTGAAGATAAAAATTAAAATATTACATTTCCATGAGTTTTTGTTTAACATTGATAATATTGTTTTCTTGTTGTATATACAGTTTTTATGTATGTATTTAATTAATGTACCTCTGATCATATATATGTTGTCTCAATACGTTCGGGATTTGCTACGTTGAATTCGTCATATACATGTATGATTATATTGCGTCAAGGACAAATACCATTTAGTAGCCTCGTGTTCAATCTCTGTGTTTATTAAATTGCCGATCGCAAGGGACGTCGGGAACCAGCAAATGCAGAGCCTGGCGTTTCACTGGTTCCCGGCGTCCGTTGCGAATGGCAAGTTGATAGGCTATGACACTTGAGGCGGGAACCAGCAAAAGCCTGACGTCATCCTGACGTAGTTTACATTCAAATGAATCCGTCGGTGATGGCGCAATAGCTATTGCCGACCATGTCAAACTATCAGACTACAATGTGCCTTGATTTTAGCACGGTTACCGTGATTTTAGTTTACTCACAGTCCCTCTATAGAGGGACCGTGGTTTACTGTATCAGAACAAAACAAAAACAAAACAACTGTAATTTGCTTTCAACCTGATCTAGCCTTTGAGAATATAATAGGGTTGAAGTTCTCATTTTTTTCTGTAATCATGAATTCCTTTCTGCATAGTCTAGTAAGTCAGCACTCTTAGACTCCCTAAAAAACTAGAGATTTTGAATTTAAAGGGCGCTGGTCGTTGCACCGCGCATATGCGACATTTGTGTTGATAAACAATGATTTTCCCATAACCCAATGCGATAATAAGATTTTGTCATTTTGTCTAAAGTAATTACAAGTATAAATTTCTACTCGGGCTAACTGATTACACCGTAAATTAACCAATTAAAGCTTGGTAACGTCTCAGTTTATACTGTCTCGTTGATCTGCGCTTGGAGCTAGAAAAGGTCCTTTTTAACTCCATGATCTGCACAACAGTCAAAGTCGCCATCGTTGTTTATATGAGACCCATATCACTGCTCTTTACAAAATGTTTTTATATACCCTATATAGTTACTTTTTTTTTCAAGCACATACCATCAAATGAAAATATATTTTGACATCATGTCCTCTGCTCTTGCATGTAATCACTCTTCTTGTTATTGTTTTTTTTTTACTCATGCTGGTATGAGAATTCTGAAACGCGCTTCTATCTACTGACTGATAATCCTACAAACGTCTGTTTTGGATTTGAGTTTAGAGCGAGGGTCTATTTAGAGCAAATGATTTGTAGATATTCTATGAAAGTAAACGCCACCGTCCCAGGTATGGCGAGGAAATAAGGATTTACAATGACGACAGCACCCACAATATCCAATGTTATTAACAGTGAATATTGATGCAGCACGTATCATTAGGCAATCGTAACCAGATTGTATGCACTCCAACTGTCCAACTGATTCTACAAGAAGATTCCACAACCGGGACTGCGAGACACCAATACTATTTCGGAGAAATATTTTCCCACTAACGTAACAGAGAGCAAATAACACTTTTACACGTCCATTTTTTTCTGGCAAGACGTCATTGGTCAGCTTGTTACATGTATGTACAATTAATGGTAAATGAAGATATCTATTTTTGAAATAATATCGAAATAATACCAGACGTCTCAGGCGAAATGTTCGGTAACAATCAACGTGCTTGTAATTATCAGCATCTATATCTATAGTTATCCGTTTTCATATGTATAAGCAGTAATGAAATCCGTTACTGTTACGTTGGTATCCGTTCGTCCGTCTGTTCGTTCGAGGCCATTTCTTGAACATGTTTTGACTGATCACATTCAAACTTGACACACAAACTATGTATGTTGACTTAAATATGCACGTCGATTTTGATCAAATATGTGGGCCATTCGGTCATCAACTTTGTTAAATTACGTAAACGTGTTCACAACAGTTTCTCGCAGGTGAATAGTGCGATTTAATTCAATCTTTGTATACATATTTGGTTATAATAATAAAGAATGTTTTTTTTATGAATTGATCAAATTTGTCGAATTGATGGCCATTTTGTCTAAAATTATAAAATCGAAGTCTGTAAACGACTCCGGAATCGTTTCTCTAACATGAACAAGACGATTTTATTTAAACTTTGTACCAGGATCATGCATATTAGGTTACAGGTGCACGTCATATTTTTTCCAGATTCGAGAAAAATGGCTGATTGGTGGCCATTTTCTTTGTATACATGTATATACCGATTCCTCGCCTAATATATATATCGTCTGAGTCAGTTAAAAGTTTATACATAAGTACTATACTCACAAGCTATAACATAGGTTATGTAGTATTTAGTGTGACTTGATAAGATTTGTTGAATTGACGGTCATTTTGTCTAAAATTCTAAAATCGCATTCTGTAAATTTGTCTGGAGTCATTTCTCGTAGATGAACAGGGTATTGTGATCATGCATACTGGGATAGTATGCATGTCATATTTTTTAATTACATTAGAATAAAAATAGCCGATGATCATTTTATGTTACCAATGCCCAGCATAGTTTTCCAGTCTGTATATGCGATAATAATATTACATTGTATCAGTCCATTCACTCCCAGTCATATTGCATTGAATCGACATACAGATGATGGATGGAGTCATTTTGGTATATATGTGACTTGTACTGAACACAGAGATCGGTTACTGGTAAAACAACACAGGGAATGTGCATTGCCATTGATGATTGTTTTGTATTTACTTTCTCTTTAACTTGAAACTTTCTGAAATGCATCGTTTTATGCTAAAAATGTTTACAAAATACTTTTCATGCGAAAACTGGACTATATATCAGTATCACGGTATGTTAGGATACAATTATTTCGATAATGCAGGTTGTTGCACCACGAAGACGATGTATGACTGTAAGCGACTCTTTTACAGTGCGACGACTGCGTTTGTTTACTTTACGGCGTTGCCATTGAACTGAGATCAATTTACCACTTGCACCCCTTCTCCGGAGACGGGGTACCGGGTATGAGTGCTGTGAGTACTATGTATTTGCGAAACACTGAGGGACAGTCCATTTTAGCCATGAGGGGGGTTGCTGGTAAGAATACAGCGCAACGTCCTCGCATTAGTAGCGCCATCCCGCGGCAACCAGCAATGAGTTTGTAGCTGAGGCTAAAAGTGTCCTCGCATCTGAAAAAAGTGCGCTGATCCATAAGGCGAGGGTATTTTATTATAATTAGTGTTATTATTGTCATCTGCGTTGTTGTCGATCATATGTCCATCTATTTATATTGAACACGTCATCACCATTCGTACGTCGTTTGAATATTGAAATACAGATGGACGTCATTCAACCTTGTGGCATGTATATATATTGTATGACCTATATCATAATAACTGCAGTAAAATACAAATTTTCATTCAGTGATGGGCCACGCATGAGCACTGGTGCAAAAAACATTGATCTTATTCCCCTCCCGAAGTGTTGGTGAAGAAATATCGTAAATATGGCACGGACGACAACATCAATCAATGTGGCCACCAGGTGGCGTGTTTTTTTGTACATCTGTATGACCTCCAACCGTGGCTCGCCAAGGAGTCCGCCTGTCCATAATTTGGAGTTATGTTTCCATCTTTCAGTAAATACTGACCTATTGCTTTCATTACAAAGTACGTGTCAGTCCAGACATCGTGATACCAACTGTAATTACATCAATTATTTTTCACATTAATTGAATTATTTGCAAATTCTGTTAGTAGTTTCATGTTCCATCTCTGCGTTCATTAAATTAAAATCAATTTAAACAAACTACTAGTAATTAATTTAATTAAAAGAGGAAAATATCTAGATGCAAGTATTGTTTTCTAGAAAACACGTAACGCATGTGTTCATTATTATAACATTTTCTAATCTACGCCCAGACCGGCTTGGTGTAATATGAACTCGTGAACTATGTAACACATGTGTCAAGCTGTCCTCCACGCCACAACTAAGTATCCCGGATGTTTCCTATCAGTGGCGGTGTCATTGTTTTCAATGATGTCATTCCGCAAATATTATAAGTAACTCAGTTGGTTGTTTTCTCCCGGTGGGAGGCACTACCCTTGAAGATCAAACGGCGAGAACTTGAATATCCTGCACAGGACTCTGTCGACTCGCCGCTGAAGAAGTTCCCTCGTTTGTTTTATGACTAATATAGGATTCAGCCAGTAAGGTAAATAGTTTTGGGTTCAACAATCGACTCCAACGGTGTTACAGTGTCAGTTTGCTTTCAAACGTCGCTTTCAATTGAGCCCATTGTATACGATTTTGGCCGGACTCCACGATTGGACTACAATGTACTTGTAACGTCCAGCACACTGATACCTTGAATACGTTTAATTAATTCCGTGAGAAGGTCGCCGATCACACATGGGATATTATCCCCTCGGGTGATTAACAGACACAATCCATGACTATGCTGTATTTTGTGGATTTATGTACAAAACTGTGCTATATTTTGACCTAGTAGAATGCACAACTTGACATCCATTCAGCTTATTTAATGCGAACTCGTCCAGTCACACCCATATTACTGTGGTGGAAAAAAAGCAATACAAAGTGAGTGGTTTAAAATATACAATGCATACTAAATGCTTTCCGTCCAGTGTGTTGGTTTGAACGCAGTTGTCTGCTGCCACGCGGTATATGACCAACTTACTGAATTTATTGTAGAGTGTCGTTATACATGTAAATATGTCACTGACGCCAAAACACGAAGTTCAATCTGATACTTGTGTCTACTCGTGTTTAATGTGAATGTTTATTCAGTCTTTTACTGTCACATTGCAAGTGTCCATCAGCTCAAGACCTTGGACTTGTTGTGACTAGTTATACATGGGATGTGTGACTCTATATTAATATTAACTTTGTGTGTATGTGTGCCGCTATCAACGTATTTCTCGCTGTTCTTTTTGCAGTAAACACTCTAGCGCTGCTGGATACATACGTCAGAATTAGACACTGTCGTTAAATCAGTGAACCGAATCAATCGAAGTAGCCACTACAACAACTACGTTTTATTGGATATACTGTCAGGAAAATGGCCTACAACGCAGATACACAAGACTACGGATATGACGAATATTACTACGACGATGGCGGTCACGAGATTGACCAATACCCACAGTATGACAATACAATGATGTCAAATACAAGGGGTCATGAGAGTGTCAGCCGGATAGCGTACAGCAAGCCATCGCCATCACCGGGTAGTAAATTGCCAGTAATGCGGCGTTCAGGAATACCCATGCCAAGCAGTAACAAACATTCCCCCAAGAAAACGTCAGCACAAACAGCAGGGCACAAATATACGTCGACGTCGGCACAGTTCACGGAACGAAAAATTAAATCGTCTCCATTATCGTCACCCTCGCATTCAAGTTCGACTCGACTGAAAGAGCCGAAAATTAGAAGTCCAGAGGTTCGCGACCTCAAAACGCCCGATAGTGACGGGTCCGAAGAGCTCATTACATCGATGAGGTATGATGAAGACCAGTTTAATGCCAGTCGTTCGTCGTCTTCTTCCGTGTTGGACAAACTTGGAGTTTTAGAAGAACGTATGGACTCCGTGGCCACCGACAACAGTCTTTCCAGTTTGGACACGATTGAAAAACTAACATCTTTACACGAGCGTATTAATCAATTAGAAGAGCAGAATTTCAAAATATTAGAAGAGGTAACCAGGCAACCGGATACTCCACCAGCTGCCATGGTCAATGGGGAGAAAGATAAAGAAATTCAGGAGAACAGAGATTTGGAAATCATGGAAAAAATGATTTTATTGGAGGATAAACTAGAAGGCATTATGTTAGATAACAAATCGGCTACACAAAACATTGAAGGTGTATTGAGTAAAATGGTTCAAGACATGTCAACAAAAATGGACACCGTCAAGAAAAACGCTACTGAGATTCAAGAAAAAATGACTGAAAATATCCGCGCCGACATGGAAAATATGATGAAACAGTTTTCAGAAAGTGGTGATAAAAGTAAAGAAATGGAAATCGAAAACGCCTCTCTTCGTGACAAATTGTCGAGAATGGAAGACATTTCGAAAAGTTTGGTAGAAAGGGATGAGACAATCAAGAAACTGGAACGAGAGAATAACGCTCTTAAATTGGAATCTACTAAAAACAAAGAAATCGCCAAAGACGTTACAGCGAAGGATGAGAAATTGAAACGATTAGAGCGCGAAAAAGCGGATCTGCAACTGCAAGTGACTCGGTCACAGACCGTCTCAAAGACTCTATCAGAGAAAGAAGACAAAATCAAACAACTTGAGAAAGAAGCGGCAACATCAAAATCGGAGGCCTCAATTAAAAATGACAAACTAACAGCTACAGTGGGGGAGAAAGACAACAAAATTAAAGAACTTGAGAAAGAAATAACTAGTATGAAATCCAAACTTTCTACCGCTGAAAGTAAAATAAAGTCACTAACGGAGGAGGTAAAGACAGCTGCCCTCAAAGCGTCGTCGCAGCAGAACGTGAACCAGCCTACAGCAGAAGATGAGCAATCGGGGAAGAAAAAGAAAGGAGGCAAATTTAAAAAACTTTTTTAGACATCATGTAGTATGTATATTGACTGCACGACAGGTGATGTCGTTTAATAGACTCGGTAATGATGAAACGTCTTCAACAGAGTGGTGCAAGACCAGGTGTAAGTCATTCACGTCGTTTTTATAAATTGGTGTATTATATTACAACAGTCGTACAAGTAGTGCACTACATGCCAGTAAAAAGTGATTAATCTCACAGCAACATAAGTATTTATGATTAATGAATACTCTTTATTTAAGTTCACCTTTAACCTCTATTGATTTACGATCCGACACCGCGTTTACAATGTACCGCTGTTTTCTCTACCCAGATAATATCTGGAATAGATGTTGTAATTCCACCAGTTTTATTCATGACCACGATTACGTGTATTTACATCTATTTAAACAGATTCAAAGCTCAATAGTTACCAGTTGTCAAGGAGACAGCACTTGCTTCGAGAATGCATTGTAACACACGGGGGTCATTAAAAGTACTAGTTCTATTGCAGTCAAATGCAATAGACCGGTAAAGAAATCCGGGTGACGAATATACATAAATGTCGACTAAATGAAATGCACTCAGCATACACAGCCAAACTTTTAAATGTAAAGACCATTCCTAAGTTCTAGTCAGGCGAAGAGCGCTTATATATGATGTTAGATCTGTTACTGCGAGGTACGTATAGAGTAAGCCGGTATGGCAAAAGCCACTCTCAAGTAGAATGGTCTCTTTCAGAACATAGTACTTGTATGACACTCTGTACGCAATCCTATACGTGTTTTCAATGAAAGAACGTGTAACCAAACTCGATAGTATCGACATGATTACTGTGCCATGTCCGTCCGATCACCATACACTCTATGATATATGATTTATTAATAACAAATGTGAACCAGAAATATTTACATACTAGCTCGTAAATATGGATAATGTTTTTCGACAATCACATGTAAAACACGAACCATGATGTCTTTGAAGAATTAAGGGGCTGTAATTACATACACTGGGCGTCTAACATTTGGGGGTGTGCCTTTATTGGGTTGCGTGGCCTGAAACCTCAGATTGATAGTACCGTGGCTAATTTCTCTCAAAAGATTGGCATATGCATTCCACAGATAGTGAGTCACTAGCATGATTGTGTAAATAAGCGCACGTGACCCGATGACAGCTGCACATGACTGTAGCTATATTAAATAGAAGAACTGTTGGAAATGTGTTCTGTTTTTCTTTAAATAGTCAAAATACACAATGTAAATTTAAATTTAATTTGATTAAAACTTGAACAATTTCAACTGCTGAATTATGATGAATAACATTTTAAATTAAACTGAGCAATATTGATTTCATTATTACAGTTATATTTTGGAATAAGCTCATGTTTTCATTTTCATATTACAATCGATTGTATTTCCATCGTTATGTGATCTGAGTTGGTCGATATAATTTATTATACAATCTTCACAGTGACCTTCTAATGATGACTATTAATTCTCTTTGTTTTTCTGTAAGTTTTATTTTACACACTGTACTAGATTGTTTTGTTTAGTTGATAGTTAAGCTAAGTTTATCGGTGACGGAGACTGTTTAGTTGATAGTTAGAGTCGGAGGTTTATAGACGACGGACGCGTCTGTGTATGGGATGATGTCATGATCCGAGATATGAACACATAACGTCAAAGCATTTTAATACGTATTTGAGCATACCAAATCATAATACCCAATAATAAACACATCAAATCACGTCAATCCTTTACTGGCTTTATTATTATTTATGTTAGGAGTCGTTATATTATGTCTTTATTTATTAATAGTGCTCAATATTTTCGCTGATGCGACGCCATTTCAAGCCCCGTTTTGTCTTGCACAGTATTCGTAAAGTAAGTTTGCTGCATGAAATATTTTCCTGGATTAAAACATACCCCTATTATAGTCGGTCACTGGTCATCGTGAATAGACTCTAATTTAAATCATATAGCTCCCATAACTTTATTATCTTGACAACCGACTGCTAGTAGAACGAAAGGCGACAACTGCATTGTGAATGACCCCAGTTGACCTCTGTTTGTATCCTTGCCCATTAGGCTGTCCTGTGTATATTTAGAGTTCATTGCACTGAACGGTGACTGAATGTCTAAAAACACTGAAAATAAAAAGAGCTTTGGTTTCCTTTCTTTGAGGCTGATTTAATGAGGGCTCGCACCAAGTTCTTTACAAACGTAGGTCCAAGGAGTGGCACGACTACAGCTTGAATGTAAGATGAATGTATGTTCTTAAATTTTGGCCGGTGGTATCGATCTCGGCCATGCGCAGAAGTTGGAAATTATTTCCACCGGACAACTGGGTAGATTGTTGACGTTTACTATGCAAATGGATACAATCGGATTTTAGTGTTTCCTCGGCATTTTTTCGACCACGTCATCAAATTCACCGACAACAATGCGATAAAGACTTTCTGTTTTCTTTCCGTTACTTGTCTGCATAAAAACGAAAGAATTTCACAATGTCGAAAACGGAAAGTCTATATCGTAGTTAGACTTGTTAACTCCTTAGTTAAACATGTTATAATTAACAACATAATTCCACCAAATTTTCACTAAAGTCACCTTAACTTGAAATTCTGCTAAACTATTAATCCGCTTGAATTGTTGTAGATGTCGATATGTTTAGAATTGCCTCGTGAACCTTCCTCGCTGGGATGAGCCCTTACGAGTTGGTGGCGCTAATGAACCCGTTTCCCTTAGTATACTGACTAAAATTAAATTTCACAAAAACGAAAAAGTTCCAAGTAAGCTTACATGCAGATAACTACCTCAATTTAATTCAAATACGCTATTGTTGTTTTAACATACATTATTTAAAAATTGACGGACGAGCATTTTTGGTGGGCGCTAAATGCAACTGATAATATATATTATAATTGACTGAAACCAAAAACAGCAGAGAATACCTGTGTATCATGTAGGCAATGTAAAAACGTACTGCACATTTACAATATGTTCAATTGTAGATGGAGCGAAAAGCACGAACAAATGCAAATTAAACAAGATACCCGAAAAATATCAAGAACCACAATGCCAAAAACGAGGTTCGCTATCTTACGGTTCAGGATCTTTCAAACTACCAGTCATAGTCACTATAACTTCACAAAATTCCGTCTATCCCCGGGGTCTATTCATTGTGAGATATCATTCAAATCACATTTGTCACTATGGTTACGACTTTTTCCCGAATAAACTGCACAACCCTGTCTGACTATCTTTTTGCTGTATCTATGTTGAAGAAAGGGCATATATTTGGCACCCACTTCGAGGCAGAATTTGTTCCCCCCACAAAGACAATTTGGGAAGCACATATGTATCATTATTTTTATCAGATGAAACAATAATTTGTCAGATTATAACTTGGACACCCTTGCAATATTAATGACCCGTCAGCCGTTATCGCAAAATTAACAAATTTGGTTCAAGTGTTGTACAACCTAAGATGAACGAACCTATAGTTCATTTACCCGCGATGCGCATCGGTGCAATCAGTCTCTGTAAATGTCACAATTGCGTGACAGTTGACTGGACCAGGAGTGAATATTGTGTCAGACTAGTAATAGAGGGTATGTGTGAAACTTTTTAAGTTGTTAAAGGATGGAAAACGTAACATTGGTAATGGAACCACCTGTAATAGCATATCTTGTCATTATCAAGGGGGAATACTTAAATTGTATTTATTGAGCTGAATTATAACTATGCAATCTGAATTGAAATTCTGAAGAAGTTCAAGATCAAATATTAAAACACATATTCACCGAATAACCAAGCTATCTTGATCGCGTAAGAAATCTGAAATACAGTTTCATAACTTGTCCAGAACTTGTAATAAACTGGCGATAATCAATTAAAATATTTTACTTTCATGACTTCAAATATCATCCGAATCATTGCTGCGTCACCATGGTTACGACACTTTGCAGAATAACTCTATCGTTTAGCAGTACAGCTAGCTATGTGTGGAACTTATAATTCGCACGTGCAATTCATACAAATGTGGGGTTACGGGTTTTCTGGACTGAATTCCTCGACATTGAAATGTGAAGTTATGTCAAATGTAACAGTAACGTTTTCTCTCCAACACTTCTGTATATTGGAGATTTGTTTTTCAAATACAATTACATGCCAGTTGAAACAATCGTTTTTTTTTCGATATTTTTGATTTCTCAATCCCAAGAAAAAAAGAATTATTGTAAGACTTTAATGTAAGAAATGTTATACTACATCTTCTGAAATAAGACATATTGAAAACAACAACGAGAACATCATTTATTCTGTGATAAATGTTTACATTTCTCGAAACAATACCAGAATATTACTCTACGTGTACATGTATAGAAGATTTCCATGTATAATGGCACATTTTGAATATTTGATCAAGTAGTGTTGATATAATTTT